TGACAGGGGAAGAGCTGCCTCCTCAAAGTAGAGTCAGCCTTAATGACGTGGCTGGAGTAAAACTTTTGAGACCTCCATTTGCTGATGTGGTACCACTCAAAATGGGAAGAAACAGCTGCAAATATCCATTAATAATTAGAACATGGAATATACAAAGTATGAATCTAGAAAAATTGGAAATTGTAAAAAATGAAATAGAATGCATAAAAATAATATCCTAGGCATTAGTGAGATGAAATGGACTGGGTCGGGCCATTTTGAATCAGACAACCTTTTGTTCTACTATACCAGGAATGACAAATTGAAGAGGAATGGCGTGGCATTCATCAATGCAAAGAATGTTTCAAGATCTGTCCTGAAGTACAATGCTGTCAGTGATAGTATAATATCCATATGCCTACAAGAAAGACCAGTTAACACTATTATTCAAATTTATGCACCAAGCACTAAAGCCAAAGATGAAGAAATTTAAGATATTTACCAACTTCTGCAGTCTGAAATTGACCAAGCATGCAATCAAGATGTATTGATTATTACTGGTGATTGGAATGCAAAAGCTGGAAATGAAGAATCACCAGTAATTGGAAAATATGGCCTTGGTGATAGAAATGACATCAGAGATCACATGATAGAATTCTGCAAGACCAACAATTTATTCATTGTAAATACCTTTTTTTTCAACAACATAAACAGCGGCTATACATGTGGACCTCACCAGATGTAGTACACAGGAATCAGATCAACTACATCTGTGCAAAGAGGTGATGGAGAAGCTCAATATCTACAGCCAAAGCAAGGCCAGGAGCTGATTGTGGAACAGACCATCAATTGCTCATATGCAAGTTCAAGTTGAAGCTGAAGACACTTAAAACAAGTCCACAAGAACCAAAATATGACCTTGATTATATCCCACCTGAATTTAGAGACCATCTGAAGAACACATTTGATGCATCAAACACCAATGACTGAAAACCAGACGAATTGTGGGATGACATCATAACATCATCCATGAAGAAAGCAATAGGTCATTAAAAAGACAGGAAAGGAAGAAAAGGCAAAAATGGATGTCAGAAGAGACTCTGAAATTTGCCCTTGAATGGAGAGTAGCTAAAGCAAATGGGAGAAATGACAGATAAAAGAGCTGAACAGAAGATTTCAAAGAGTAGTTTGAGAAGACAAAGTCAATTAGTATAATGAAATGTGAGAAGACCTGGAATTAGAAAGCCAAAAGGGAAGAACACACTTGGCATTTCTCAAGCTGAGGGAACTGAAGAAAAAAATTCAAGCCTCGAGTTACAATATTGAAGGATTCTATAGGCAAAATATTGAATGATGCAGGAAACATTCAAAGAAGATGGAAGGAATACAAAGAATCACTGTACAAAAAATAATTGGTCAATGGTCATCTATTTCAAGAGGTGGCATATGATCAAGAATCAATGATACTGAAGGAAGAAGTCGAAGCTGCACTGAGGGAGCTGGCAAAAAACAAGGCTCCAGGAATTGGACAGAATACCAATTGAGATGTTTCAACAAACAGATGCTGTGCTGGAAGCACTTACTCATCTATGTCAAGAAATTTGGAAGAGATCCATATTTGTGCCCATTCCAAAGAAAGGGGATCCAACAGAATGTGGAAATTATTGAACGATACCATTAATATCACATGCAAGGAAAATCTTGCTGAAGATAATTTAAGTATGGTTGCAGCAGTATATTGACAGAGAAATTTCAGAAAAGCAAGCTGGATTCAGAAGAGGATGTGGAAGGAGGATGTCATTGCTGATGTCAGATGGGTCTTGGCTCAAAGCAAAGAATACCAGAAAGATGTTTACTTGTGTTTTATTGACTGTGCAAAAACATTCGATTGTGTGGATCATAACAATTATGGATAACATTGAGAAGAATGGGAATTTCAGAACACTTCATTTTGCTCATGAGGAGCCTGTACATAGACCAAGAGGCTGTTGTTCAAACAGAACAAAGGGATATTGCATGGTTTAAAATCAGGAAAGGTGTGCATCAGGGTTGTATCCTTTCACCATACTCATTCAATCTGTATGCTGAACAAATAATCTGTGAAGCTGGACTATATGAAAAGGAACATGGCATCAGGATTGGACTAAGACGTGTTAACAACCTGCGATATGTAGACGACCCAACCTTGCTTGCTGAAAGTGAAGATGACTTGAAGTACTTACTGATGAAGATTAAAGACTACAGGCTGCAGTGTGGATTACACCTCAACATAAAGAAAAAGAAAATCCTTACGACCAAACCAATAAGCAGCATCAGAATAAATGGAGAAAAGATTGAAGTTGTCAAAGATTTCATATTAATTGGTTCCACAATCAACACTCAAGCAGCAGTCAAGAAATCAACAACAGGTTGCACTGGGCAAATCTGCTGCAAAAGACATCTCTTTAAACTGCTGAAGAGCAAAGATGTCTCTTTGAAGACTAAGGCGCACGTAACCCAAGCCATGGTGTTTTCAATCGCCTCATATGCATGTGAAAGCTGGACAATGAATTAGGAGAACCAGAGGAGAATGGACGCTTTTGAGTTGGTGAAGAATACTGAAAGTACTATGGACTGACAGAAGAATGAACATAACTTATCTGTCCTGGTAGAAGTGCAGCCAGAATGCTCCTTAGAAGCGAGAATGGCCAGACTTCGATGCACCTACTTTGGTCCCTGGAGAAGGATATCATGCTCAGTAAAATAGAGGGTCAATGGAAAAGGGAAATACTCTCAATGAGATGGATTGACACAGTGGCTGCAAAGATGGGCTCAGGTATAGCATGTCACAGGACCCAACAGTGTTTCATTCTTCTGGACATAGAGTCATGAGTCATAGCCAACTTGATGGCACCTAAGAACAACAACAAATTTCTGAACTCATAGAAGTCTGATGTTGCTGAAAATGGTAGAAAGAGAAGGGTAGGATCTGCTTCAAGTATTTCCTGCCTTTGTAACTTGAACAAATCTGGCCCCTCTCTGGTTCTCATTTTCCCAAAATATAAAGTGAAATCAGCAGACTAGATGATATCTGAAGTCCCTTCTTCTCCTTCTCCTTCTTTTACAGCTAAAAATGAGCATGAGTGCCAAGGCCACTTTTGATTCTAGAAATGTTCACTTTTTCTTTCACTTCTCCTAACCCATGGCTGGAATATACTAAATGAAAATGTAGTATGAGAATAAAGGCTTTCTCTCTTTGGTCCAGTCAACGAGCCCTAGTTGGCACAGTGGGTAAAGTGCTTGACTGCTAACCTCGGTGTTCAAACTGCACGTGGGGAGAAAGATGTGGCAGTCTGCTTCCGTTAAGATTTACACCCTTGGAAACCCTATGGGGAAGTTCTACTCTATTCTATAGGAGTTCTGTGAGTTAGAATCAACTCCAAGGCAACAGATTTAGTTTTTGTTTTGGTCCAATGGGCAAGTATTATCATGTTGTTGTTGTTGTTATGTGCTGTCGAGTGAGACCCGACTCATAGCGACCCCTCCTTGGGTTTCCGAGGCAGTATCACTACGGAAGTAGATTGCCCCGTCTTCCTTCTGAGGAGTGGCTGGTGGGTTTGAACCGCCAGCCTTCTGGTTAGCAGTCAAATGCCTTAGGCACTACACTACCAGAGCTCAAATAATAAAACATGGTGTAAAAGGCCACGTTAGCAACATGCAGGTGATGACAATGACAGTAAAATGAGGTTGATAGAAGGACTCAAACCAGGTTTTCTGATTCTTTGGAGGCTTTTTATTCTTGTTGTTGTTGTTAGGTGCTACCGAGTTGTCTCCAACTCACAGCGACCCTACGTACAACAGAACGAAACACTGCCTGGTCCTGTGCCAGCCTTATAATCCTTGCTATACCTGAGTCCTTTGTGACAGCCACTGTGTCAACCATCACATTGAGGGCCTTCCCCTTTTTCATTGACCCTCCACTTTACCTATCATGATATCCTTCTCCAGGGAATGGTCCCTTCTGACAACATGACCAAAGTAGGTGAGATGAAGTCTGGACATTCTCACTTCCAAGGAGCATTCTGGCTGCACTTCTTCCAGGACAGATTTGTTAGCTCTTCTGGCAGTCCATGGTACTTTCAGCATTCTTCGCCAACACCACAACTCAAAAGCATCAACTCTTATTTGTCTTCCTTATTCATTGTCCAGCTCTCACATGCATGAGGCAATTGAAAATACCATGGCTTTTTATCCTAAATCCTATCATATGCTATATATTCCTTCCTTTCCAAAGATTAAATACATCAGACCTTTATAGCCCAGATATTTTGGAAAATCCACACTCCTTCACAGTTTAAACACACTGGGTCCCAGCGTCAGAAATGAAACACAGCTTTCTCTGGCAATGTCTGAATGATTTGGGCGGACATGCCCTCAGTCACTTTCCCCTTGGGACTTGTCTTTCAGCAAAGGCGACACAGGGCAATTGCAAAGGGAAAATCAGTCTTTTCATATGCCTGAGCTATGAGTGGGTACCTCTCTATGATGGAAAAGTGTCTAACTTGGCCCCATCCTTCTAAGAAGATTTTTTTTAATGTATGCAGAAACGTGAAACTCATGTTCAGAAAGTTCCCCTTCATTCTGACGAACGGTGCCTGCCATTCTGATAAACAGATTTTCTTAAGGGAAGCTGTAAACCAGAACCACACTGGAGAAAGAAAAAAAAAAAAGCGTGGCTGATTTCCCGCTTGCGGAAAGATCTGGCTCTCCCGCCACCAGCATCCCTCTACCCCCGCCAGTGAACGCCTCCTCACTGTCTAGCTGTCTCTCCCCGACAGCCTAGCTACCGAGGGAGGGACTCTGTCTTTACTTCGCCCCTTCGTGCCCCAGCCAATAGCTTACAAAACCGGAGGGAGGGCGGAGTTACAGCAAGGACACTGCCCCTCGCTACCCTCTAAACTAATCCGTGGTGGCTGGGCGTGGACTTTCGTGCGGTCCCCGCCTCCCGGCGCTGGGCAATTTAGAGTCGCGCGCCGGGCGGGAATGTAAGATGGCGGAGTAGCAACGCGAAGCGGTTAGTACTCAGTCTGTCTCCAGTACGACTTCAGTTCCAGCCTCGGCAGCAGCAGCGATCGCCGAGCTCAGAGTGCTCAGAGTAGTTGCCCAGGATGCCGAATATCAAAATCTTCAGCGGCAGCTCCCACCAGGACTTATCCCAGAAAATTGCCGACCGCCTGGGCCTGGAGCTAGGCAAGGTGGTGACTAAGAAATTCAGCAACCAGGAGACCTGGTAAGGGCGAAGTTGGAACCGCGATCGGGCCTCACCTGCCGGGGCCCCGGGGGCACCGCGTGAGCAGCGAAGGGCAGAGGGGAATGGGACCGCTGCGTGAGTTCTGAGGGGCGGGGGACGGAAGGGGGCAGCTTGGTGGCGTGCGTGCCCCACAGGATGTTTCCGTTATTTTACCTCTGGTGGGAGGGTACGTTTATTCTCACCGTGCAGTAGGGTGGAGTCAAGATGGAGCACGAGGCGAAGCTGCTTTGCCTGGGTTTGAAGGCAGGGACTGGAGGACCCAACGTGGGGATAGTGGTCGCTTAGTGCGAGGGGAGGGGACAGTCGCTTAGCCTTGGCCGTGGGGACACGTGGCTTTGTCGCTTCGCTTTCGAGCCATCCAGGCTGGACTGGGTTCACTTCAGCTCTTGGACCAGCTTGCATTGGAGCGCTTACTGCGGACTGAGCTTCCTGGTTTTTCTCCTTGAATCTAAGGAGCAGCTTTTCAATTCCCATTGATACGGGTCCGGTTTGGTGCTTAGTGAAACTGACATGTACTGAGGGCGCCAAAATTATTCCTGAGGACCTTCCTTAGCTTAGCAAGCGTTAGCTTTTAACATCTTTAAAAGCTGTAGAATGGAGCCATACTTAAGTTAAATTTAGTTGATTGGATAAAATGATGCAATCGCGCTGTATCCTTGATACCCATCTTAGCTTGAGCCACCCTGAAAGTCTCAAGGAACCTTATTAATTCTAGAATCTTAGACCTCCCTCCATGCAGTTAGTGATAAAGATAGTGCAAAATCATGTTTTTCAGAAACCATCTACCCTGCACTTGTCCAGTTCTATTAGAGCTGGGTGGGGAAATTTAGTAAACAGTGTTATACCTGAATGTTGAGGGAAGATAATGGAGTGGAATACTGGGATCTCACAGTACATTGAAAACGGATTTTTTTTCATTGCCTTGCCAGTAAAACTTGCCCCCTCCCCCCACTTCCACCCTTAGTCTGCACATCAGGCCATCTTAGAGGTAACTTGGTTACTTGAGTCTCTCATGCCCTTTCCACCTAAATGTAGAATCTTCTGGTTCTGATAGGTGTACAGTGTTGCCCTGTCCATCAAATTAGCACAGCACTCAGTCTTACAGATGCAGTCATCTGTTAAGGGAAGAGTTGACACCTAATGATCAGTTAAATTAGTTAAAATGACTTTTGCTCTTAAATGCTTTTGCTTCCCTTTTAAAGAAAAAAAAAAAAAAAAAAACCCAATTTCCACAGTGGCACTTCCTTTATCGTTTTTAGATCCTGCTGATAAAAGTATTTATCTGTAATGGACAGTTTCATTCTGCATGCCTGATTATTGTGCTGCTGATTGTGATGCAAAATGACTGTGCAAACACTGGTGCCATCTGTCACCAGGCAATACCCAATACCTTCATCAAAAGAGACTAGCTAAGCTTGCTTTGGCCACACCTCTGTAGCTTGTGGGCCATAATAAAGAACATAAAACAGGATTAAACTTTACAAATGGTAATATAGCCTAGTGGACAAGAATGGGTTTCATTTAGAGGTGTTTTTTGGTCCCCCTAGAAGACTGGTTATTCAATTCTTTTCCTAAACCAAACACCCTGTGCTTCCAGAAAAAATATGAAGACTTTATTTTCTCTTTGTGTTAACTCTTCTGCTCTCTGCTTTGACAGGGTGCACTCTTAGCACTTTTCTATTGCTTATTTTAGTGGAAAATATTTGTTTTCCTTCTTTGACAGGTTTCCACCTTACACAGGTTTTTCTAGCTTTCACAGGTTTTACTGTATATGTATATCAGAAGCAAACAGATTTAGGCACAGCTGTTCAATCATCAGTTATTGCTATAACTTGCCTTTTAGAAAAAATTAAAAAAATATATTTGGAAGAATAAACGTTAAGATCTAGATGATTCATTGAACCAATTATATTGACCAAACTGTATAATCTGAATGTAGTTCGTGGGCTTTTTAAGGCTTTATTAAGGTCTATGCCTTATAGTACTGTTGGTCTGGATTAGTGAAGGCAGATGTATACATAGTAAAACCAGGCATTGCACTAGTTTACTGGCACCACCTTATTTCCCATTTATATTTCCCATTTAACATAGTTAGATAGCTTTTTCAAGTTATTCAGTATATGCCTTCTTGTCATAACAAACATCCTCCTATGTTGAGGGTAAGTTTTAGTTGTAAGTTTGGCTTTGGGAAATAGTAAGCTGCTGGTTAATTATTAAGTAGTGGTTTTGGTATGGAGTTTTCATATAATAACACAAAAAGGGTACTTACTAGCAATTGTGTTGGCTAGTAAGCTAGTTAGTGATTTTTTTTCAAATTCCTTTCAAAACCTTATACAACGTTAAGCCAAAAAAAAAAAAAAAGAAAAACAATCTCATTGCCATCACGTCAATTCCAACTCACAGTGACCCCCTTTCTGAGGCGGTAAATCTTTATGGAAGTAGATGGTGGGTTTGAACCACCAGCTTTCTGGTTAGCAGTTAAATGCCTTAGGGACTATGCCACCAGAGCTCCCTTATACAGTGTTAGAATATATAATTTCTAAAAGAATCACCTATACTAAAGATATATGTTCAGCAGATATTCTCTAACGTTTGAATAAACTAAGCTACCAAACTCAGTGCTGTCGATTTGGTCCCAACTCATAGCAGCAAGGTAAGCTGGGAGCAAGGTAAGCACAGGCGGGCTGGTGCTTACTCACTGATCTGCACTGAACACTTTCCCTTGTTACCCTCCCGAGGGGGACCGGGTCTCCGGGAGCAAGGTAAGCACGGGCGTAGCACAGAGTAGCAGGCC